AGAGAGAAATTAGCACGCCATGACATAACCATCCTTGAGAAAATTGAATCAATTCCTTTGACAACCTTATTAGACATGAATGGAGCCTAGTGTAAGGTGACCAGACGGCCCCATTTTCTGGGGACAGTCCCCGTTTTGGATGACCTGTCCCCAGAAACAGCTGTCCCCGGAAATGTCCCCAATTTACGCGTTTCATGAATGAGAGACAAAAAAAAGGTTGCATGAAGACGAGATCAACAGTTATTACGATTGCCGATTAGGTAGGAAGCGCAAGTAAGCATGTTGCACGCAGTCCTGAACAACAATTATTACGGGGGGCATGCGCTGCTATGAAGTAGTCCTGAGTTGTTGTCTGTGATCACATCCCCTGCTCTCCAGAAATAGAGGGCCTGGAATCACATTTTGCTTAGCACCCCTCACCCCCTGGATGTCCCCAGATTTCATTACAGAAATCTGGTCACCTTGGCCTACTGGTGTCACACATACCATCCTGTTCACCTGGAAACAAACTTCTATAACTAAGTCAGTTTGGTCGCATTAGAAGACCAAACCAAAGTGACTATCAGGAGGAAGAAGATGAGCTAGAATAGAGGAAAATGTGGGTAACAGTAGCCCAGGATAGATTCGGGAGAGTTTATAAAAACCTCCATAAGACAACAGTCCTAGGAGTGCTTTTTAAAATCCTCTGCTCTGTGAAAAGATTTTCATACTGTAATCAGAAAACAGCAGTATTTTCTAAGCTCTGACTCACTTCTGCAGGATGAGTTTAAGGGCATAGCAAAGGTGAAGAACAAACACCCCTCAAGTCTGAGACAAATGCTGGATAAAAGTTAAAAGCAGCACTTTTCAGTGTTCCGGCGTGTTGGATATGAAACAGGCATTTTAAAACACGAGTTACACAGATGTAGGCATAATGTTCTCTGGACTGTCGGAACAGCTTGTCCTGAGAACATACAAGACTTGGCCTCATAGGACAGTGTTAAAGAACACGCCTGACTTGAGGCTCGTAAACCCATTTATCAGATCAGCATTTCCTCTCACATGCTGATGTAGGATGTCTCAGTACGTTCCTCATATAAGTGATCGTTTTTTTATGAGGGAAAGCCACTGCTGTTTTCTCCTCCCTGAGACGTAAACCCCCCCAAAACAGTGGAAAGTCTCCGTGTAAGCTCGTCACTCAGTCTAAACGCCATTGTAAACAAAGTCCAGTATGAGCTGGAGCTGAAACTCAGGGCTTAAGACCCAGAACCACTTACTGTTAGTGACGTTATAGCAGCAGCTCACATCAGAATAGCTTTAATGGGGAGCCGACATTTAGCGTAGAGTATTTTCAGTAAAAGCAGAACTTTTGGGTTGTTTCATGACTACAAAGCTGTGTCTAACTTTATATTACTGCAAAAACTAAGAGTGCTGAAACAAGGGTTTTCATGGATACTCGTTTAAGATATCTCCAAAAACTTCTCTAATTGTCCCAGACTGTCTTAATGCAGGTGAAAATGAGAGAAATAAGAATCCTTTGAGTCCTCAGTGAAATAAAAGTCTTAAAGACACTTTTTATTTGCTTCATCACTCCAGAGTTAAACTTAAAAAATATAACTTTAGATTACCAGATTTGATTTGAAACTAATTATACATATCAAGGTGTACATATTGGAGAACGTTTGAGCGGGACATCCGTGGTCATATTAAGGGATTATTATAAAACACTTGATGTAATCCCTCATTAGAAACTCTGAATCTACAAAGAACGTCCTGTTTCATGATTATCTGATCACTGACACATGCTCCTAGTCGAAGCGCAGACACAGTTAATACATTTATGAGTGCTTACAGTATATCGTCCAATCTAAGCTTGTGGTGCCAGTGATTATGCAAACCAACATGACGCCGTGACGCTCCAAGACACCGGCGACCAAATCCCTCCTTTTCCATTATCGCAGTCTGCATTGGCAGCAATGAAAATGAAGTGCTTATGCAATGAATTATAGAAAAAAAAAAAGATAACCAGACGTAGAAAGATAATGAGATGTACCGTGATATGGCTCCCTCACTCTATCTTTAGCCACTTCGCATGTGCCGTGTTGACTTGTATGTGTGACAAAATCACTGACGCAGGTTTTGTATGACCCAACATGAGCGGAGGTGCTTGTAATGTGACGCAGATGAGGTATTAATGTGCCAATTCGTTATTTTTGAAAGAGCAGGATTTACAGTTAACAGATTATTCTTTTTTTCCTACAGTTTCAAGTGACATTCGTGCAAAATGTGTTTTTTTTTTTTTTTACAGCTGTTGCAGGCAGAGCTGATTCTAGAGTGTGCTGGGGCCCCAAGCATTTTTAATTATCTGACACCAACAAAAGAGGTCACAAACAGAACATTTTTAAAAACAATTACCATTATTACGACATAACTTGAAAGTTGTGCTCTAAAATAGCTACAGCTCTGGCATGTTTTTACCACAATAGCCAGCACCTCACCCTTGTTCTAAATTTACTTTAGTATGTTATTTAGTACACTGTCTAATTTTAGATCTAAAATTCAAAGCATCAGCAGTGTAAGAGTTAGGCTAGTCAAGATTCAACTTTAATTGATAGTGTTTCATTAACAGTAGAAGCTGATGTCTGGGTTAGCTTTTTTTTTCTGTCCTAATCACTCCTTTACCGGTGTTCTAGTTATTTTGGTGAAATTTCAGTATTGTACCTTACAAGCCCACTTTCTCTTTGTCGGCTAACCTCACAGAACAGTGTGGGTGTGTGAACACACGGTAACAGCGAGTCAACGGAGCGGTAACCCCAGGCTAATGTCCCCCTTTGCTAACATCACCCTTTGCTAACGCGGCTAACTACCAATCAAACAATTAACAGCCAGCCTTACACCTTGTGTTAGTTCAAGTGTTTGCCACACTTCGCTATCCGCTCCACTTACTGCTGTCTTACTTTCTCCTTATTTCTTTCTCTTTACTTCTCTTTCTTTTCTCACTCCCTGATTAGTACCTCCACTTCATGGCTGATTTTGACGTTACTTTGATTGACACACTTCAGTAAAGATGGATGTAGGTCATGTAACAGTGCAGCAGGGATAATGTGGGGCCCATTCTGGGGGAGGAATTTTTTCTTTGTAGGATGGTAGGGGAAGGTCTGACCCTCCTTCGCCTCTTATTGGCTAGAAGTGCTGGGCTCTGATTGGTTATTCCTTATGGCTGTGAAACGTCATCGTCTAATCTAGTCATCGGAAAGGGTTAGTGTTAGGAGATTTAGAAGTGCAGTAATGTTAGCTTGAGCGTTTCCAGCTTTTCTAGCCAATCAGAGGCTAAGGAGGCGGGACTTTCCCCTTCCATCTTACAAAAACATATATACGTTGCTTCTGGGAGGTATCTGTCTAAGATATCATTGCATTTTTGTGGAATAAGGTTCATCAGCCCTTGGGGGCCCCCTAGTGGCAACTGCCTGCCTTGCCTGTAGACAAGCTCAGACCAGCTCTGGTTGCAGGTCTGAGGGCTTTTCAAAATAAGATTTCCAATATTTAGCCGTCCTCTTGATAATAGAGAGTATAGAAACATACAACTGAGGAAAGATGGTCAACACATATGGTTAGAAAAAAGAAAGCTTTCAAGTCCATTCACAGCGTTAGATGTTCGGTTATTTTAGAGGTGCAATAAAAAGCTTCCAGAAACATGTAGGCTGAGGTCAGCTGCGTGGATGTCTCTGCAGCTCCATACTCCCTCTAAAGACTAAACACTTTTAGCTATTTTGTTTTCATGTTCCTGTCTCAATAAAGTGTTGCTTTCTTAATATAGATCTGCATTTACACACCAAGTGACCTGTGTGTGGAATTCACGCCCTCTCTCAATGCTCGTGTTTTCAGCTGCAACAGGCTGCAAGAAAAAAACAACACATGACCCAGCAAGAGGCCACTGATGTGTTCGCAGAACAAAGCATTTTTAAATAAAGGACTACTGTTGTGTTTTTTTCTATCAAAAGCTGAATATTCTGCCAAGGCTATTTTTGAAATATCTATTTTTCATGTTGACTCAGTGCCTGCCAAAAACCTAGACATCAAACAGCGGTGGCCTATTGATTAGAGCAGTCTTACTCAGAGGAAAACAAGAAAACTGAATTGTTTTTGGAGCTGTTTCAACTTGGGAGACCTCTGCACTCGTGTTTTTCGCTCAAAGCTTGCTTAGGGGTGGCCGGGAGGCTCTGTCTTTTTATATCGGAATCAGCAACAGCTAATGAGGCAGTCACACTGTCAGTGCAAATAGAGTCTGAGTGACGCGATACATTTAATGGCATCACCGAGTGCCAATGTCTACTCCTTTATGTCTTAATACGGCTACATTTATTAAGTTTTGATTTGAGTCGATCCAAGATTTTGGAAACTTTTACTCATGACATTATTCACACCAGAAAATGTCAAGACAGTCTGGCTGCAGACCTTCACTGTGAGAACCCACCTCCACTGAGTGGACTGGAAGTTGATTTGAAGCCTTTCAAAATAAAAGCAAATATACCGGGAGTACTTTTTCTTCTCCCCCCATTGGAGGTTGATTCTAAGCCTTTCAAAACAAAAGCAATTAGACCAGGAAGTAAGTACTTTTTGTCCCCTGTGAATATATTTTATTTCTAGGGCTTTATTTTATGTATATAAAGTTAATATGATTTTTTGTGTTTTCATGTTTTCAACAAAGACAAACACTAAACGGTATGACCCCTTCAAACAAACAAGAGTGCATGAGAAAAACGCCACCTCGGGTCCTGACAGAGGAGCGAGTTCTCACAGTGGAGGTGGGTCCAAGAGGCTTCAAGTGTCAACATTATAGGCCTTAAATATTAAATACGATCCCTGTGTTATCTCTACTGACTGTGTATAAAATTGGCGCCACTTATTTCACCTTTTGTGAGATTTTAAGACAAATTTGCCTCTGTAGGCGCTGACATACAGACCACGGAAACCACGCCGTATGCTGAAGCGACTTGGCTGGTGGCGTTGCGGGACTCACGTCAACCAAAAGACACATGACATTTACCAGTAAGATCCCTCATATTAATATTCTTGTGTTGATAGGAAGTAAATCAGCGCATGACTTCAACCAGTCAGCAGGGGGAGCTCTCAATCGTTTGACTTCAAGCTAAGTTGAAACTTTAGCGTTCATTTCATTAAAGTCTTTGGTTACATCATCGTCACACGGCAGCAGTTGCACCCTTTGAGCTACCTCTGGGAAACACGTGCACCAAGCATGAGGAGATACTCACTCACTGTGAAATCAAGGCTTTTACCTGTCACAAGCTGCACCTGGTTCGAAGACAACCCATATGTTGGCAGCTATACGTTCACAATCCATCCCGTGCCATGACTTAATCATAAGTTTTATAGCCTCCAATGCTCACATATATGTTCTGTTATTGTTCACAGATGCAGAGCGCCAGAGTCTCTCCCGGCACGCAGTGGGCGAGAGGTAAAACACAGGCTGTCAGTCAAAGGGCTGACACACATTCACACCCACAGGCGGTTTGGAGATTCCAACGCTGCTTACCTGCGTGTGTTTGGACTATCGGAGGAAGCACCTGGAGGAAAAACAGACAGAAGGAGAGAACATGTGGAATTCACAACGAAAAGCCTCGGGTCTTTGGATTCAAAGTTGCAAAGTCGCTCTATGTAAGGATGGATGAAAGGATGCAAAAGGATGAATGGTGAAACTGGCTGCCAACGAACGGAGTATGTTTCAAACAGATGCAACATGAAGGCCGGGTAAAGCCTCGATTTCACGGGACGTGATTATCTCCTGCTCATGCTTGGTGCATGTTTCCCAGAGGGAGCTTAAAAGGTGCAACTGCCGCTGAGCGACAATGATGTAACACATGAACCACCTTTCCCAGAGTGCAAAACAGCAACAGGAAGATTTTGGTATTCCGAGAGTTCGCTAAAAGGTGCTAATAGCGTGTCTTAAACTCCTAATTTGGAAGTAGCTCAGCAAGGCGACTGCTGCAAAACAAAGACTGAAGAGAGTGGATCAGTCTACGTGAATGTGAGTCTTCAAAAAAGAGGACAAATACCATGAAGTAAAGAAACCAACTCGAACAAGCTGAAAACATTTGGAATAAAAAGATATTCCTCTTGACACAGTCGGTTTTAAATTTTAAAGAAGTAAAGCACGGATACATGCGGAGCCACAACACTGACTTCATGATTAAAGATCACCGAGTCCCCGCTTATCGCTGTCAAGTGTAACCCCCCCCCCCCATGTGCTCGAGCATGTGCAGCTGCGTGTCATCAGAGCCACAGTGCGAGGATGACTCACCACATATGCACTCGCTCACTGCCAGATCTCCAGCGAGGCCTCGCCTGCAGGTACGCACACACAGAGAAAACACTGACTGCAATGCTGCTGCCTGGAGACAAATGTCTGTCCAAATACTCCACCGAGTGCACAGCGAGATAATTAGGAAATAATGCACTGATGCTGAAAAAAAAGTAGCAAAGAGGAACTTTTGGGAATCACTTGCAATTACCAGCTCTGTTTACACGACGCATTCATCGCTTTTATAATGACTCTATACTGTACACAAGCTGGTCCCGGCGAGAAGCACATGGGAAGGCGGGTTTTTAAGAGGGAATCTGCGCCATTTGTTGATTTAAGTTTTATGTAACTGCCTTAGCTTCAAGATGATTGTATGCATGCCGGCTAATTCGCAAGAGGAGCTGCTGACATTAAAAGACAATCTAACTCCAACTCTCCTTTAAAATAAGGAAAATTAGATATTCCCCTCAACTAAGGATTTGAGTATGCATTTAAATCTGCAAGTCATGAAACCTGGTAAGTGAGGCTGCAAAGTAAAAACGCCACAGTCCTGGAAAGAGCCGAGGCTACCTTGTACACATCAGGATTTACCAGGGCACGTGCTGGCGTTGAGTGTCAAACACTCGCTCCAGTGAAATTCTGTGATTTGTGACGTGAAACTCGACTTTCTGATGGGAATCTACTGATGTTGACCATGTTGATCAGTTATGACACAATGTGAATCTGAATTATGGTATCCTGCTATAATATGGTTACCACATTATGAACAGCCAGGGTGTCTTTATTAGCCTGATATGTAATGTAGATATCATCTTCATCAGCCTGATATGAAATACAATCAGATTTTCCCGACACTGTGATAGGGAATTTGATATCTCTCTCTAAGGAGGTTCTCACATCTACGTCGTTTGGTCCAGACTTTCAGACTTTTCTGTTTAGTCCGAACCAAAATGTGAAGGTGTGTAACCTCCCCAGGACCTTGGTCCGGACAAAACAGCTGGACCGACCAAAAAACACAGTCTGGTTCAGGCCCAGTGTGAAAGCATCATTTTAAAAGGTTCGGACCTTCGTACCAAAAACAGGAAATGACTCCAGGAGTAGAAGTGTCTGTTATTATGTTAGTTATACCACACTATTGACAGCTTATCTTTTCAAGAGTTTTACTACATAAACTTGTCTCCCCTGCCAGTGTTGCAATGACTGGCAGGATTGCATCCTTTCTTTTCCTTTCCTGTAGATGTTAATAAAGTTGTCGTCTAATGATCAAATTCATGAGACTTTCTCGGACCAGCCCCATGTACAGCTCTTCAAGTTGTCGCTGGTGGAGGTAGAAAATCAAAAACAGTACGATGGTGGGAATGATGATTTCATCTATGTTTAAACCATTCAAATTCTGCGCTTTTCAACGTGATGACGTCAGACACCCACCGGCCTAATGACCAATCATTGTAAACTACAGAGACACGCACAGCACTTGTTGATTACAATATTATGTTGTTCATCTTGGAAAGTCTGTTAGTCCATTTGCAGTAATGACAGTGTGAAACCTAAACAGACTGAACCAATGTAACAAAAACACGGACCTCAGTCCAGACATTTAGGTGTGATAACATCCTAATTTTAAGGCTGCTGATGTGATTTTCTGTTGTTTGGCACTTATTTGTTATGTTTACTAATGAATGGAGCGTTCATTTATACCTCAGGACACAGATATGGGTGAGAGTGTTTGGAATCGCCTCCCTCAGAGTCAGAAGCCCATCACCTGTTGGTTCAGGAGATTCCGCTCACCCTTTAAAGCTTCTACTACATTTCTATTTATTCCTAAAGCAGTTCACCTCCTTATATTGGACGACACCAGTCTACGTTCAGATGTGCGGGCATCAGCCTCACACTGAAGTGGAATCAGAGCTTTAATCCACCAATTTAAGAGAGCAAAATTAACATGTATTTCACACGTCGCGGCTCTCTCTGCAACACCTCTTCAAATACCTGAATTAAAAGTGTGACATCTATTCTTAGACGCGACCAACTTCACCTTCACCTGTGAGTTCACCTTCACTCAAAGCTCATACACGTTCTCCTACTAACGATTTAATTTCTTTATTATTTCCATCCAAAACACACAAAACAACTTCTAAAAATCCTTCGTCCATATGAAACTGCTTTGTCCATGCCTATGTAATTGTTGGCAGTGTTATTAAAAGTTATTTTATATTAAAAGGAGGGGATTATGAAGATAAATATACCCTATTGACTACACCAGCTAAGCTCTGAGTTGGCCTAATTACAGACATCGGCTTTAAAAACCCAGCCGAGGCCTCTCCGTCTTCATAATGCATTCATGATGGGGTGATTCATTGTGCTGTGCAAGAGCTTCTGCCACTCTGATACTGAATCTGTCTAATATTGTTCAAACAGGTGTTTAATGAGAAGTCCCAACTCCCAAAGAAGGACGGGATTAACGGACATTTTTTCCCCATGTTTTGTAGAGAAAACAGAGCTACCAACCTCAAATACGCTCAATTTATTCAGCCGAATGCTTTGAAGTGTCGGAGCACCTGGTGGAAATAGATTCCTTACGTGACCGCCAATTAATCAGACCTCGCCTTTTGACCAAAGACAATGTCACATGAAAGACTGAGACCCGGAGCAGACAGAGGCAGAAGTTATTTGGGAGCTATCGCGTGCAAGCAGGCGTTGAACCAAACTGGATGTCGTGTTTTTTTTTTTCCCCTCCTTTAATATGTCATTATTATTTCACTGTAATGTTCGCCTTCGGTACATACATGGAGACACTGAATTATGGCTGTTTGTTTAAGAGATGAAAAAGCTTGTGAAAGACTGAGGCAACCCCTGAATAGGCAACATAAACTAGGATAATAGTCAAGCTTCAAATCGGTTTTCATTCTGCTGACTAAAACCTATTCTGAAATGTGTTTTTCTCATCTTCTAGAGATCACTCCATATCTTCATTTAACTTGACATCAGCATTATGCTCAAAGCCCCTTCATAATGCCTATAGGGGCTCACGTCTTTACTCTCTGATAGCCCCATTTATTTTCCTTTTGTAAGAAGTGACGTGCATTCACAGCCTCGCCGGATAGCTCGCCGATGTGTTCGTATGTTCTCGGTCCTCCGTGTTCTTTAGCATGTTGTGGAGCATCAAAATGGTTGAAAGCAGAATGATTGATGTATTCAGACCCTGTACTTTTACCCTCACTCTCCCCCAAGCAGAGCTCATTGATTTTCTGAAATGTGGTTGGGAATCGCAATCATTCTCGAGAAAGAAAGAAAGAAATAGCCCCGAACGTGTCAGACGGGTGAAACAAAGTCCGCCTGCCTCTGCTGAGCTTAGCTCACGGGGGAACCTCCACCGGCGTGCCAAAGACCGCCTCTATTAAAAACAAGCCCAAGGAGGAAATGTTAAGTGTCTCGATGCGGTGACATAAAAATGCGCCGTTACATCGGAAAAGCAATGGCGGCTGCTTGAGGTTGATGATATTACCTCCAGGTCAGCATAAAGCCCCTTTGAGGATACAGCGATGATGAACCTGTGAGGGAGACCTGTTTTCTCCTGGACATTAATGTCAAGCTGCTCTGCCTGGACGTATTAACGAGAATGTATGTGTTTAATTTCCACTCTATCCCTGTCAGGTAAACATGCATTTAGTCGTTCGTCTCGATGGGCCAATTAGAAAACCCCTCCTTGAACAAGCTGTGCAGCACATTTTTGGTCATACTACATGCACCGTGGACATTTTTAATAGTTATTGCTAATTCTATTATCACAGTGGGACGTCTGATTCCTCCCGGTGCCTATTGTGCTAAGTCAAGCAGGCATACAATTCACAGAGCAGGATGCAAGATGACTCCGGAGTGATCTAATGTTATGAAATGATACTAAAAATGATGAAAAAGATCACAGCGAGCCAGGAGGGGGAATATATCTTTGGTTTCTGATACCGCAGGGGTCGTTTACATATGATCCTGCTAAATCTCCACATCATTACCAATGATCTCAATGACTTTTCTCCCCTTTCTCCTTCTTCTTCCCCCTCCCTGTGTGATAGATTAACTAAGCGGTAACGATGTCTCTCTCGTGGAATGGACGGTGCAAATCGTTGTAGGTTCTCAGCCAGCCAGAGGAGACAGGGCTGGCTGGGCAGAGTGATAGATTAGGGATTTTTAAATACTCCTCCTGGTGAGGTCTGCCGCAGCCAAAAGAGCAGCTGGGGTTTTTCTCACTCTGCAAAGAGGAAATAGGGGGTAGGGCCACAGATGGCCACAGGCCCTGCAGGTCAACACTATTCAAAGATGCATCCTCCGGTGTAAGAGTGCGTAAATTAATTGTGCCGGAATTTACTGCGCTGTGTGCTGCAGTGATGAAGCCCACACTTTAAATCCATATTATATATGACACAAGCTATTAAAGTAGGCTTCACAGAAGTATAGCAGCTCAGACAATCATTATTGCTACTTATTGATTAGAAGATACATTTCACTTTGCCCTCTGTAAGGGGACTGATGTTGTAAATGGTTTAACTTTAAGAGAAGCACATCACTATTCACAAAACCGC